CTGGGAAAAACAAAGTTTTCATTGATTTGATCATGCACTTTGTATTTTAGAACACCTCAAACATGAGTGAAAGTCGCAGTTGAAAAGATTTCGTTCAAAAATAAAACTTTGAAATACCATATCTCGATTGTTTATTGATGGATTTTGATAATTCTTTTTTTAATGTTCTTGTTTCATAGAGTAGATTTGAACCCCTGAGGTTTAAACGTCAATATTGTTCAAAAAAATTTTCGCTTGTGGTACCTACTTAAGGGGATGGTTGAAAACTTTTCACAAACATATCTGCAATGTGTTTCCATAACATGAAGCTGTCAAAACTACTGATGATGCTCATCACTATGTAATACTAACATCCCCTCTGCAAAATGGAAAAGACACTCAGTGTGGATACCTTGTGCGGTGCAGAGCCAGGTGTGTAAAGCCGAAGTGCCTTTGAGTAAAGCTTGTGATCTGACACCAAACCGACACATTCCTCAAAATGATCTTCCCCTGGTTTAGAAAAATGAAACAACAAATAAAGATGGTGACATAGTGATGCAAATGTACATAAGGTAAGCTATGTACAGGTTCAATGGCCCTATGTGCACTGTAAGGTTAGGTAAGAGGCAGGACCCACAATCTAATACCAATCTCAAAATAAGACAGGGTCAAGAGGAAATAGCCATCAAAACTATCAAACAAAAAGTAAGTTCAAGATTTTCTGCTATGGAAAATTGAACCTTGACAACATAGTCAAACACAATATCAAGAGTGCTAGCAATATGCTCCTTAAACACTCATACACACAAAGGGTCCCAACTAAACATCTGCGAAATATGAGGAGCCATGCAGTTATATAGTATTGAAGTCATTGTTACTCATGCATAGGTCATGCAAAAACTTATATACATCGCTAGATCCCATTCATTCAGAGCTATTGACGGAAGAAAAATCACACCTTCATTATAACAATTCAAAGGCCACTGGCAGACTGAACAATAATTTATCTCATCAGTTCCACTCTCCCTCTAGCACAAAGTGCTTTTGCTCATTGATGGCCTATTCCCAGAGAAGCAGTCACTCAGCTTTCAAGGAAGACAATCATATGTCACAAAATTTAACCCACTGGGTAATCCATCAAATTTAGTGTCACTGACCCTGTGCTCCTCATGCCCAAAAACACTCACCACATTTAGAGATATGTTCCAATGCCTTTGAGTACTTCTTCAAATGCTTGTCTATGGTGTAGTACCGGTAGGTTTCCTCCAAACGCCGAAGATTGTTCAAGAAAGGAATGTACTCTTTTGGGTCCTAAAAGGCAAGGAATATATTAAAAGTAACCATTACGCAAAAGGGCCAGCATATGCACAGCTGATTCCCATGACGTATATTATTAACAAAAATGTTGGACATTACAACAGCTACAAAATACATTATACATCTTAAAGCTCACAAGCTCACTTGGCTCTGTTCATCACAAAGTCACCCATACTTTTGTGAAATACCCAAATACATCTGTCAAAAAAGACAGTCAGCAAGTAGCTGATGCTGATGACAACACCATTTCTCACCCCTTCAATTCATTCCTTGACAGTTCTCCACAGAAGTACAGCTTTTTAACCATAGCAGATTAGAACTAAAAACATTACAGCAGACTTTCCCAAATAAAAGTAAAATATGTATTTAAAAGGGGTAAATTGTACGTTCTGGAAAACCCAGCAGCTCTAGCTGACAGGTGCAAATAAGAAGAAAATTAACAGAATTTCCCTTAGCCACTAAGATTCAGGTGAAATCATACACTCAGTAGGCCTACCTTCTGAGATTTTTCTGCCACCATCATGACAAGATCAAAGTTGTAAGTGCCCAGGGCCACATCATAGAGAGTGTTCACATCCACCAAGAACAGCAGATACTTCAGGGCCTGCTCTGCACTTACGCCTGCACTTGTGGACTCCTTTCCTGTTTCATTTTTCACAAATAAATTTGCACATTCAGTCATAAATTACAAGAAAAACCATAGAAAAACACCAGAGATTCAGTTCAATCAAGCTTGCACTCTGACAGTGGTATCTATGAATACTAAGACAGAAATAAGGTATTAAAATGTTTTTCACCAATAGTACAAATTGTATTGATGAAAGTACCTTTACTTATTTCATTTTCATTCAATTGACTATAAAATATAGGTGTGAATAAAGAAATTAGGAAAGCAGTTAATGACTTTTCTTACTAAAACTACCAATGATTTCTGTGTTTGTCAAATTCATTACTAAACCTTCTTTAAGGAAGGGGATGTTACAGGTAATGCATAAATTCTTTCCGTGATACAACCTAAAGAGAATTTAAATGGATGCAAACCTGAAAACTATCCACACAGTTAGAACAAAACAGAAAAAAACTTGGGCACATTTATACATTTTCAAAATAAAGACCTCAAAAACCACACTATAACAGACCTCCCACAGCTGTAATGATTATAGAAAAAGAGTGTATTTCTACAGAACATTTTCTCTAGGAGAGCACTCAGAGTCATACCATGGAGAGACCACACCAGGAGCAAAGCCTGTTCCAGCTCAGGCGTGGTTTTCCTCACATATGCAGTGATGATAGACAACAGGTATCTGGAAAGAAAATAATAGTGATTTTCTAGAGAGAGTAAGGAGTTGCTATTGTTTCACATGCTCTCCCTAAATGGAACACAGCTTTGTTAACACTTGGCAGTTACACAGCCAGTAGTACAAAATGCCCCATCTGGTCACCCAGCCAGGAGAGTGCAATAGACTTCTCGGGCTTGTCGCAGAGCTGCGCCAAGCTACCAGAACGGATAATTTTCACTGTCGCATTATTGTGGCAAGTGGCTGCAAAGTGTTACGTTCATATCCAGCAAATCTTTTCCTTGAGAAAGAGTAAACAATAAGCAAATGAACATAATGAGTCATTTACTGCGTGAATAAAAGCAAGACAAACAGACAGAAGCCAAAGAGGGATCATAATGAAGTAATGCCCACCAGCGGTATCTCTCCGCCATCCACCTAACTTATCGACTGGCTGATGAAAGAAACCACCAGAGGACACAGAAACGGCATACAGTGGACCCCATGGACACAGTTGTAAGATCTGGATTTTGCAGATGACTTGGCGCTTCTGTCACACACTCAGGAACAGATGCAAGCAAAGACCACAATTTTAAACAGCCCATCAGAGTCTGTTGGATTGAGGATCCACCCTGGAAAGTCAAAAGTCCTCAGGATAGATGCATTACCAAAGGAAAAGGTCACAGTAGAGGGAAATGCACTAGAAGACGTCAAATGCTTCTGTTATCTTGGGAGCATAATTGACAGAGAGGGAGGTACAGGCGCTGAAATAAAGTCCTGTATTGCAAAGGCACAGACTGCATTTATTTCTTTGAACAGGATTTGGGGGACTAGGGATATCTCACTATGAACAAAGCTGAGGATTTTCAACTCAAATGTAAAGTCAGTCCTGTTGCATGGATGTGAGACATAGAACGCATCTCAGACGTGCATAAAGAGGATCCAAGTTTTCTTGAACAAGTGTCTGAGGAAGCTACTGAGGATCAGATGGACAGAAATGATCACCAACGAGGAAGTATTAAGAAGAACGAGACAGAGCCCAGTCAGAGATGAGGTGGGAAGAAGGCGTTGGCGATGGATTGGACACACTTTCATAAAGTCAAGCAGCTGCATAACAAGTAAAGTGTTAGATAGGAACCCACAGGGTAAAAAGATCAAGGGGAAGACCACAAGGAACCTGGAGAAGAGTTACGTCAAAGGAAGTACAGAAAAGTGGGAAGACATGGAGTGATATCAAGCGACTCGTCCAGGATAGGGAAAGGTGGAAAGTATTTGTTCGTGGCTTATATCCTGATTCAGGGTGAAAAAGACAAGGATGATCCACCTAACTGGAGATAATGATGCCATTCTGCGAATTATATACAGTGTGAAAAATAGAAATATTTTCTGTTGACAATATGATCTCTGAGGCAAAAACAGTAGAAGACCAACAGAAAAAAAAACCTGTTGTCTCCAACCCTAACTTAGCATTCGGTGCTAAAGCTCTGTCTAAGTCTGTCCAAGTGGATTCTTGTCTCTAAAATAACTTCATGTATCAAACGTCGCATCCACAGCAAATGAGTCATCCATTTTCTCTCTCAGTTTTGTTGATTAAGAGATTTATTCTGAACCTACTTATATTGAGAGAGACATCGTAATTTCTATTAAAAGTGGGACACAACTCACAAAATATCAAAGATGTTGGGGAAAAAAATTGATTTCATTCAAACCTGCTTTACAAGTTTGTAAAAAATATTGGATCTACTCATGTTTCTGGCTACAGCAGTGATGCACTGGTTGTGGTTGTCACATCAACTTAAGTCATGAACTAAGGTTGTTGTGTTCTTAATATATATTAGCACAGAATTATATTGACAATGAAAGAAAGATATATATACAATATATAATAACAATTTAAGATCAGCATGATACAAATGAGGCTATAATATTTTTTAAATCATTAAAAAGTCAGGGAAAAGAATTCTGACATTCCACATACTTGTCTTCATCCAGTCTCTTGAAGGCAGCGAGTGCAGCATTACAGATCTTGTCTACTTTAGACTGTGTCTGTTGGTCTGACTCCCCCTCAAGCTCTGGCATCCTCTGGTACGATGCTGTATACATTGTGCGCGTGACGTCTTCTTCACTGGAATAAGGCATTGGGCTTGTTAAATAAACGATTATGCAAATAACTCACCACAGCCTCCACAGGCTCAAGGAGAAGACAGAAAAGACATGAACTTTCATTGACTTTAGCTCAAAAAGAGAGAAAATCTCTACAGTTTAGGAAAACAATAGCAGCGTAGAAAAGCACAACTCATACTTGTAAGTACATTAGTTCTCTAAGGGAGACCATTATTTTTAGGCTCAATAACTTCAGATTGGAATTATCTCTATAATATATATTGATGAACACATGTACAAGAAATGTTACAAAACGACTCTTTTACTTCCCTCAAATGGCACGCTTGACAATAACAAGAAAATTACTGATCAACAACGATGTTGTTATATCTTGGTAGTATTTAATGTAGTTAGTAGTACACAATTTTAGAATTAGAACTGAGAAGCACAAAACAACCATTCCTGTCTGGCCAGCAAGCAAGTGAAGTTTATTCAGTACTTGATGTGAGTAGTGAGTACTTCCTTTGTGTTGGACCAAAACAATCCACCCTAAAGGCCTGGTTACACGTAACCATAAATTGAACCTGATTTGGTGCGTTATTATATATCTACTTTAGCAATTTTATTATTTAGTTGATCGTCAAGGGTGAAGTTTGTTCGCCTTCCATTCATTAGGTCCAGAGCTTGAAACCTTCACATAGAGTGCAGGCAAATCGCTGTCCTCGCAAAGAGACATTGTGGCTTTATGACGAGGAATCTCCTCAATTGAAAGAAAACTTACTGATAGATTGGAGCGAGTAAACAGACAACACAGTTCGATAAAACGGACAGTTCTCTCGTTTGACGAATCTGATACAATTTATCGTTGCGTGTAACCGGGGCTTTAGACTACTCCAATGTAGGAGAATCCCACTTAGGACAAGGGACAACACTCATTAATATTAAAGACCAATGAAGTAGAAAAAAGTAATTATTATTTCCCTTGACCAAGACTAACACAGATATATTACAGATGTCATGTCAAATATCTTTGGCATCACTACCATAGCTGCCTCTGCCATACACATCACATCCATTAAGCCAATTATAGTTATTGGCTGGTCTTGTAGAGCAATTCTTCTTGAACAGACCCTCTTCTCTCTAAAAAGATGCAGTTACTATTTCTTCCATCGCTCTGTCTTCCTGTCTATCAGAATCCAAATAAGAAGCAACTCACTCCATTTTGAGAGTGAAAAAGTAAATGCTATTTCAAACACGATATTGTGTTTTCACCATAAGATTACAAGGACTCAATAGATTAAAAACCCATCCTAAGAAGCTGGGCTCGAATTTTATGACAAAAGTAATTTTAAATAAAAGCTAATCTTCAAGAACCCAACCCAAAGTGTGTTTAGGTATACAGACAGGATATTTTCTCTTTTCAAATCAAGTAAGTTTCTTCATCACATAAGAGTAGGCGTGATATTCACAAAGAACAATCTTCAATACAAAGAACAAACTTATTTCTCTGAAGTAACAAACTTTTCCCTCTGACCACTGAGCACTTACATGAGATCTGTCAAAAAGAGGTTGAGGTGGTTCACAGACTGAATCTGTTCAATGACCTGGTCTAAGTTCTCCAGGAAGAGACTAGGACTGTGGTCATACAGAAGATTCATGTTGATCCGGTGTTTTCTCATCACCATAAAAGCCTCCTGGATACGATCACTGTCATTGAAATAAGACTCAACAGTTAGGAAAAAAGGACTATGACAAAATGAAAACCCAAGCATAGTAAAAAGTTAAAATGACACGATCATCTGCCAGAAAGCCCAAAACGTTAGAAATAAAATTTGAATTGACTTGAATGAACATACAAACTGAGAAATTACAAAATTGACATTTCATTTCCAAAGGTGAACAATAGTCTTTACTTTTCTCATTATCCATCTTACAAAACCTTTATTTACTCATATTTTTTTCTTTAATCACATCACTGTATGTCTCACAGTTCAAAGTTTTAAATACCTTACTATTTATATTTGTATATATGTATATCATGGCATGTACACATCTCGTTACACTTGTCAATTTATTCACATTACTATAATTTTGTCATCATATCATTTTATTCTACTTATAGTAGCCATCATTAACAATAGAGCTTGCATTTAATACCTTGACCAATATCACACGACCAAAACATCTGCATGTATCTGAATCCCCCAAATTCTCATTTCAGAGATACGTCACAAATGTGTACAGCATTCTCACCTATCCAAGAGATGTTTCAATGTGCTCAGCACCAGAGCCCTAGGGTGAATAGTTTCAAGGTTTCCCCTTGGCATCTGCAGCACCAGCTTGGTGTCATTGCCCACCACAGTGACAATCCTTGAGCCTCGCTCGACACGCCGAATGCTCTCATCAAATGGATGTGCCTTGCCATCAGATAACTTTGGGAGATCTGAAATTTGTATTGAAAAAAAATTGTTTTGGATTCCCCATAAACTTACATATTCCCCTTTGTACGTTAATTTCTAAAAAATTACTAAAAGGTGAGTATTGAAGTATTACCCTAATTTCAATCCAAACATAACAGCAATCAAAGAGGAGGTTCTTCAGCCTTCAACAAGTAAAGCCCTTACTGATAAAGAGCAGTAACCAAAAAAAAAGATTAAGAAAAAACCCCAAAACAAAAACAACAACAGCAACAAAACTACAACAACAACAACAATGCAGCTGCCTTCGGTTGGGACCTCAGAAAGGAATGGTTTGTTTTCTTCATCTTGATCAGTCCTGCCTAAGACGGCCACCTGTCTTATATGGCCACTTTTCTCCTTGACAATGGGTGACCGTCTTACACAGGTTCGACTGTACTTCATCCCAGTGTTGTGCAGCATGGTTAGAGGATAATTTTGAGGATTTCTCTGGATTTTTGATTCCCTAATCCCAGGTAGATGGGATCAAGATTATGTCCTTCGAGAAGGATGAAAATTTGAGAGGTGCTGTGCATATGATGAGCAAGTTAAAGATGCTTTGGCTTTGGCCTGACCAGGCAAAATTCTAAATCAATCAATACCCAAATCTCTGGAAACTCTAGACAATACAAATAAGTAAAAATACCTGTAAAATTAGCATTTAATTTATGTGTCCACCTGAAAGGAATTGAGATTATGCTATATATAAAAATACTCTGCTGAAAGGGTCAAATCTGATCTACACGAACCTTTGGAAAAACCTTAGCCGCGCTGAAAATAACATAGCCCAATGTTCAAAGGAAAATGTTCAAGCTAAATTAGAAACAAACTTACCAGACAGCTTTGTTGTCTTACAAATGCATCGCACAGTGTGAGTCAGAGTAGTAATCAGCAAAAAGTCATTGTGTACACCAAAAGATGTGCAATTGGAAGCCACCTGAAAATACAAATACAGGACATAGTTTTTCTCTCATAACCCAAAGAAAAAGAAGGAAAGTATTCATTTGAACAGACCAGATTTTTTTGTTTTTTGCTCATTTATCCTTAAATTTGCTTTGTCGGTCCCAAGGTAGGTTTGTTTGTCTTTTTACTTTAAATTGCGACAGCAAACAGCATTTTTACATGTGCAACTAAGCACAACAGACTTTGATGCTTACCATCTGTATTTGAGATGACTTGGTGCCCAATACCAATACCTTAAATAGAAGTCTAAGATACCTGAGCACTTCTGCGCCCCCCTTCAATTTCAAGATACCACCACAAATAGGGACTACTACCTTTAGCACGTACAGCCATAACTTTTGACTTTTGACAACAAGAACCCTTAGCTAACAAAAACAGGTGTAAAACAAAAACATTATACATACCTCCACATCATTGACATAGAATCTGAACTTTTCAGTCAGGCCTAACACAACTTCTTCATTGCCTACAATAGCTGCAGCCATGTGGGTGCAAGGATATGGGAATGCTACAGTGCTCCCACTTGCTGACTCAAACGGCAGTGGGCTGTCGGTGTCTGAAAGAAAGTGGAGAGAAAAGTGAGTACTTTAATCACATGACACATACTAAGTGCCACTTGTGAAACTACCTCACTACAAATATGAAAAGTTTTTCTGAAAACTTTACATCTCTTGTCTTCATCTATATAGCATGGCTACTGACCCAAAATTTCCCATTTCGAGTAGATTCAGGGTCAATTTCAAGTATTTTGGCCAAAATGATGTAGTGCATTGACAAAAATGAAAAAATTAAAAAAACTTTTCCCATGTACAAGTAGTTACCATCGGGCAGAGCTTGCTTCTGGTAATATAAATAATTATGTCATTATATTTTTAAAACGTGTGCGTTTATGATTTTGTTTGTGATTATGTTTTTTTGGGGTTTTTTGATAAATGTTATAAAGCTCTCGCAACTGTATAAGGCCATATAAGCCCTTGAGACACATTAAGCATTTTCAGTTTGGTAGGAATTAATTTTGAATTTTGCCTGGGCAGTGGCCAAAGACTACTTTTACCAATTTTAGGACTGCCAAGGGAATCTTAAATGTGTGCAACTTGTACACGGGTCCTCCAAGATTTTTTTCCGCCCATATCCGAGAAGGTTAGTTGTTAGATCTTATCTACCCTAAGATCAGGGGCGTGGCTGAAAGACAGCAGTAAGAAGGGGCTAGATGTAGCAGTAGAAAGAGTCAGGAGAAAAGGGGAGGGGGAAAGGGGGGACAGAAAGAGGAAATGAAATCAGATGACATACATAACATGATTAGAGAGTAGGAAGGAAGGTGAAAGGGAAAAAATTTAGAGAAGAAAATTTTCCACCGTTGCCAGGTTTTGAACCCAGGATCTATTGATGAAAGGTAAACACTTTACCCCAAGACCATGACAGCCCCTTGTGTTATGGGTGTGTGTTTGGGTTTGCATATGTGAAGGTAAACAGTATTGAATGCCATGTACTACTAAAGACTATATTACATAATTTTTCCTAGCAACGACATGCCAACAGGGTACTGAAAGGTCTCGTGTAACTTGGGTATGCAAGACAATTTCAACTAGTTTTCCCCTAATCATATTTTAAAAGAGAAACCTGATTTTGGCCTCTGGAAAGGCTAGAACGTCAACTGTCAAAACCATGTCTTGGTTCCAACATTCATGACTTTTAAAAAGAGTGCTAGACAAAACTTCGAAAATAAAAATACCTCATGGATGGGCTTCAAGGCAGAGCAAAAAGCAACACAGGAAGAGAGCATGTACTGAGTGCCGGAGTTGGAACAACTGAGTAAGCACAGGACATAGTGATGTCGAAAATATGGCAATCAGTGTATCATGGACTGAACATTGATTTTAAAAAATGCTAAATCACAGATCCAGTTTTAATAACCCATGTTTTCATATAGTGACAAGTTATCATGAGCGCATTACACTGCAGAGCGCTCTAATCCAAGAAATTGGTTCCTTGATCTTATCATCCACATGGTGTCAAGTACTTTTTCTCCTAACCCGACCAGGTGCACTATTTCTGTCTAAAACATTTCTTTTTACTAAGTAGTTAGCATATGGCAACACAAACATGGACAAATAAATACAAAAACATGTTAATGATATGGCTATATCTAGGGGGACAGGGAAACATGACTTTCTCAAAGCAGCAGTGTTTGCTCTGCATAATATGTTCTGAACACCTTAGACATACAAATTCCTGTATACTACTTCATGACTGTCTAACCTGGGTAAAACTTCAGCAGTTCTCCATTTGACAGCTGGATGATCACGCTTTTAACATCAGAACTTGCACATATTCCAATCATGTGTGACTCAAGAGGAAAGGATTTTCTGCAAAAGAAAAATCATGTAAAGAAATGCATTTGTAAGAAACACAGCCTGAATGACAAAATCAGTATCATTTCCACCATGACAAACAACGAACAAAAAAGAAGTTAATCCACATTACTTACATATCAAAAGTATTAGCCACTGGGAAATAAGAATTAAAAAACAAAAACAGTTCAGTTTCTCATCATTAAAAAAAAAACAACTTTTGATAGAACTCCTTACATTTACAAGAAACCAGAGGCAGCTAAAAATTTATTTTTTAACACAAAAAGCAACTGCCTTTTATTTACATGTATATTTCAGCATTTTATCGGCTGTTTGCACTGTATAATTACTGGGAAGCCGAGATTGTTTCTGAGCGACCTAGGGTCTGCTGGGATAAATAATATAGATTTTAAGTGCATACAGCTTGCTGTTGAGTAGGGATACTCTCTATGCAAATGCTATTTACTATTTATTATTTCATTTTCCTCTAAGTAAGAACATAACATGCCTCATGTTTCAAGCAGCATGATGTCATTTTTAATGGGTCTTATTAGCCTTATTACTGACAACACCTTCTTCATTTTTATTGCAGGGACATTGCCAAGTAAATCAGTTGGGTACCCTTTCCCCTACGATGTCTTTAATGAGTACAAAGTGTACTCAAGACCTGCAATTATTTTTTCTTATCTGAAAAAGTAAAAAAAAAAAAAAAACCTATTAAAAATACAGCTCAGTTAACCATCAGTTACTTCTGAACAAGAGGGGTATCAAGCCAAATATTCTGGCATGAGAGGCAAGCTGCTAACTCTAAGCCATGACAAAGTGCAGAAGATCAGTTTTACTCTGTTAACAAACCACTTTGACTCCTCCCATACATTACTGTCGTAAGGGAACATTCATTTTTAAAGCTGGGAGAACGCTCAGAACTACTGCATGAGACTGAAAATCACTTAATACTAGATCATAACTTAATACCATTATATCGGATATAACGTTTTCTGTAGAAGCATGGTAAACAACATTGACACACGCCACTACACCTACTTGACAACTACTGTGTTTTCCTCTGTATTGAAACTTGCAGTGTGAATTAAACTGACCAATCTTGAATCATCAAGGGTAGAGAACAGAAGCTGCTGCTCTGACAGCCACAGAAGATTCGACACGCTCAGAGGCACGTCACTCTGCTCCAGACCCACAATCCTTCAAAAAGGCAGAAGAAAACCAACAGTTTTAAAGCAAGCAATAACATGACACCAAAAAAAAATAAAATAAAACATTAAGTCATCATCTCTTTTTATTTAGTCAAGTCTACGATTTCTACATATAAGAATTGAGGTACACGATTTAAGATGTTAAAGAGTAAACAAATGCAATAGACGAAAACAGAAAATTTATCTGAAATCGCTCCAGCTTAATTCTATGATCGCATCAAATCATAAACCTTATCACTAAACTGAGTGAATCATGAAATCCAAGTAGAGTTTGAAGCCTATAGCGACAAGATAACAGACAGTTACATAAAATATGATGGTTTCTTTATCTTCTGTCTTTTACAGAAAATGTAAACTAATCGAATTACCTTTAATTGACTGATAATCTCCCCAGTGTGACTGACGCTAAATCTTAAAGCTGAATATTCACATCACTTACCGAGCTACAGCACATAATGTAGGGACGCTGCACTTCGGAATAAAGCCATCTCCACCGGCAGCACCCAGCTTGCCTCCTTCTGGCGACTCACTCTCTGATTAAGATAACATAAGAAATAAATCATATTGCTCCATACATATGGATCCTATGATGTTTTGATGGAGCAAAAGCAACTTGAAAAATAATATGCATACTCAGAAACCAGGAGTTGAACCCCCAACCCATTATTCAAAAACCACAAGGCTCAAACTGATTTTAAAATAACAATTAATAGCTCACGTAAAGTAAAGCCGTCAATCAAAATTGCATTAAATGATAAAAGATACTTTGAAAATAATTCAAATAATGCCAATATAAAATGTCAGTTGCCCTTCAAATTGGATATAAAAAAATAAATCTAACAACAGCTCAAGAATTAGAAATCTGTACTAGAAAAGTAAACTACCTTTATATCTCCAAAATGAAATCCTTCCATCTGACATCAATGCGGCAAGATCATTTGAGCCTTTAGAGAGGTTAAAGGCCACACTATTCACCGGCACAGGGTGGGAGAGAGTGAAAGCAGCCATTGGAGGTGGGACAACCATTGTCCTCATTGGAGACACAAGCAGCTTGTCTGGGGGAAAGATTTTTGAAAGATATAGAAATACAGTGTTTTTTAAACTCATTAAAAAACAATAAAAGACGTCCCCTCCTGTTAGATCATTTTGACCAAGGTATAATAGCTATGAATATAGGAGCATCTTCCTCAGTCTTCTCAATTGTCCTTCACATTGACACCACAGTAAGGAATTGCTAATACAAGATTATTCACAGAAGTACTGTAAAGTTAAAATAGTGATAAGGTCTCCCTAAAATTATTGAGTTTTCCTTGGATAAGCAGATATCCTGAGAGTCTAACGAACAAAATGATGGGTAGATTAAAAGATTCCTTGAACTCAATCATCACTATCAAATCTTGTCAGGGCCTGGAGGAAGGCTGCAGAAATAATGACAGCAGATATAAACTAGGCTTCATAGAAGAAGGTAATTTTTAAAAAGTATGTCGCAGTATTCTCTATCCATGGATAAACATCAGACTACAAAATCTTGAAAAATAAGAAAATATGTTTCATAGCATTCACTGTAATAATGTATTCTAATGCTGTTACCTCCATCAATGACAGCCACAGAGGCTAAGGCTTCAGGAGAGCTGCTGAGGCTGGAGTCTGTGGTCCACGCCCAGGTGTAAGACATGTACATTCCTCCCCTGGTGACGACGTTCAGTTTGCAGAAAGATTCAACATCCCATTCTGCCACACAGACTCCAGCAGTAAACCTGAGGGTCTGTTTCAGGTACCAGTGGTAGTTGTTAACAGTCCACAGTTGCACTGCAACGGATAGTGAAAAAATAATGTGGACAAACAGACAGAAACAAGGTTGAAAATAAATCATCATCATCAAGTGCCAGATCTGAAACAGACATCAATCATGCTTCACCACTCATTTCTATACCCAGACAACCTAAAAATAAATCTATATTGTCCTAATCTTTCCCAGTCATACATCTGTTCTCATTTTCTGAGTAAGTTGCTCTTAATCAATCAATAAGAAAAATGTATGTAGCTAAAGAAACCCTGTTTTTCAGAACGTATTTGTTCTGTTCAAGTCAAAGAGAAATACACTGTCATGACAAAGAGTATTTAGTGCTTGAAAAAAAAAATGTAATTAATAAGTGATTGGAGAGAAACATGATCTACCCATGGCGATCTCCAACAGCCTGCTTTCTGGTTTTGAGGTATATAGTTATCCCACATCAGTAAAGAGGTACAGGAAGAACAAAGTTAGGCAATCTGGTTTCTTTTCAAGTCGACTGCATTGTCAATTTCATACAGTTTTGTCAAGCAGAGTGATGAGTATCAAGGTACAGAAACCATGATGCTACAATGTTTTAAGAGGTCTCTAAACAACTGTTCACAAAGCAGTGTTTGTTTCCACAAGCGACTGAAAGACTCCGTAATATTAGGTGTATGCAGTTCGGGAAAGCACTAACTGCTCCACTTGGGAACAGAACACACACAAAGCTAAGTGTTATTTCTACCTTAAAAGAAAAATTCCACAGCATACAGAGAGACAAACATTGGTGGCACTCACACACAGAAACTGGCTGACTCCCATCTTCAGTGGACTCGTCAAAACAAAGAGCCAAAACGGTAGAGTCTTGATTCCAGGACAGACTGCGAACCTATAAATTATATAAATACAAAAAATAAGCATGGAAAATGTATAGAGAGCTACGTAAAGAAAGCAAAAGCAAAATTTGTGGAATGACAAATACGTAAGAGTCTGGGTACTAAAAGTCATTATAATTACAAATGTATGATATTTCAGAACCTTGCATCCCAGACAATTATCTCTGTTATGCCAGACCAAGGACACACATCTTGGAATATGTTTTTATTTGCTTTTTCTGTGCTTGATTTATGACAATGAATGTAATAATCAAAGAGTTTTTATTTACAAAATGGACACTGCCATGTTCCCTGTAAATGAAATTGTAAAAGACTCCGTGTACAGTGGTGATTAACCTATCAGCCCCTTGGTGCCATACGACCTATTAACTCTGGAGACAGCTTCATATTTTCAGTCAAAGTCACAAGTTAAATCACTTACAAAGATGTTACAATCTGTACTTTCTGGAATCCTAAATTCTCCATGTCGCAATCCATTCTTCTCAAAGAAAACAACATCTTGAACTTTCATCTGTTGATTTGTCTGCACTGAGGCAATCACTGACCCAGAAGGTCTGAGGAATAAAAAGTATATTAAGAAGGTCAATGATATCACAAATCTAGCATGCTGGACATCAGATATGCCTTCTCATTTATGCCATCCTAGCACAAAATGTTCTAGAAAAAAAACTTCATTTGCTGTTACTGTACTGCTTGTTCATAATTCCTATTAGTAATAAGATCTTAATGATATAAAAACTTTCAACATTTCAGTTGGCATGTAGTAGGTTCATACTGTAAACATATAACTAAATAACAAAGCAAAGTCAACCATTACAGCAGTATCTTTGCACTGAACATCATTTCACAAGCATGACAACATGTTCTACTCAAGACAAAACCCAACCCACATTGCAACTTCTCGAGCTCATATGAATCACTGACAACATTTTAGATTGACACATTAGTCTTTTGAGTGCAATAGGAAAGGAACATACTTCCAGAACAATGAGTGCTGGAGGCCATCTATGGGCTCTGAGCGTGACTGGAAGGTACATTCTCGTGACCAAGTGTACAAGAAACGGGCATCTGAGGAAAGAATGTATTTTTTAATTTTTTTTTGTACAACAAGGACATCAAAAGGTGAAAAAAAAATCAGTGAATCTCCATGGGTGATAAAAGCAGAATGCAGAAAAGGAAGAAATTTAGCAAAACAACACAACATCAAGAGATGCCCACAATATTTTGACAAAAATAAATACACATCGATAATACACAGATCAACCAAAAGGAAGAAAAGAAAATCTTCCGACTCTCTGAAATCAATGATTTTTTTTGGATTCTGAAAAGATTATCCTTATTGACCTCTCAATTTGCAGCACTTAACATACAACACAAATGATCAAATTTCAAATTCAGATTTTCATAATTGTGTCTCTCAAGCATGCCGGGCATTTCAGGGGGTAGAGGATAATTCAACATTGTTGAAAGAGTTTTTCAGACAACAGTACATGTGGTGTCTTGATCTTGAAAGGACCCAAAAGATTAAATGAAAATTGATATAAGCCGAGAATAGACCATGCCCATCCTTATAAATGTCATGGTCTGTAAAATATTTTTGGTGTGGTGACAAATTTCATGTTCAGAAACATCTCCATTATTCTGGCAAGCTGAAGCATACTTGTTCTTTTTTCCAAACAGCTAGCAGTTGTTGGTCAGTATGATGCTATCTGCTCCCTCTGCTTCTTTTTAAAGTATTTATAGTCCTAATCTGTTCCAGATAAAATATCACATTTTTAATGCAGATTCAATGTTAATTACTTTCAAGCAATGTCAACAACGTTCCCAAACCACTTAGTTTCTTTATTCAAATTAAGATAGAAAAAAAAGAAGTTCCTATGATGGGACTCTCCAGAATATGCAGAGTACAGTGGTGCAGTTATAACATTCAAACTAAATTATGCAAAATCTTTTTACAGGTCACAATTAAACCAAAGGCACACAGAAAGTACGAAGCAATCTAGATCTATATTTTGACACTGACCACTTTCAGGATCAATTGTGGACACAACAAAGAACTGTCCATCTCCTCTCCATCTCACTACAGGAAGCCTGTTGTCTTTGGGTCCTGCAGGACTGACATGCTGAAAAAAGCAGGATCAAGACATATTCTGAGAAAATGACAGAATTCAGTACCAAGCAAAGCTCATAATGAAGCATTTGATTTAAACAATAATAAAAAGATGGTTATCGAAAAAAATCAATTCAAACAATAGATAGTAAATATTTAAGCGGCCATTGACACAATTTAGATCACAGAGGAGGCTGGCTTTTTTTAACCTGTTGTATGGGACATATGGTCGCTTTTAAGGACAAGCGGGTTAACCCAGATTTCGGGGGTTTCCAGAAATCTTGACCTACACCAAAAGTGGGCATTGCCCTCCCTATAAAGAGAAGTTTGGTTTCACTGGTGTGTATATTTGTTTGGTTATAGAGAAAACTCTCCTTGCATTTTAAAGAAACTGAACAAAGGGCAAAAACTTTACCTTCAATTTTTTTCAAAACAGCATTTTTCGGGATAGCCCCCTTGTGCTTAAAAGCAACCATATACCAGTATAAAGCATGCAGGAACCCTATTCACATCCGCAGGATACAAGGTACATAGTTTCATATTATCACAAATGAGTGTATAACAATACAAACATAGGCATGGCATCGTAACATCCCCCCCCCCCCCAAAAAAAAACCTCTTTGAAAGGAATTACTAAAATTCTTACCACTGTCTGTTTCTTTGCTGCTTGTTTTCCAGCTGATCCATGAAACTGAGTCTCTTTCTTTCCCCACCCTACATTGATGGGATTCTCTGACAAAACATAAAACACACTTGTCTTATTGGAGAAAAATAAAATGCACCATTATAATATCCTTCAGGCTTATATTTATTAACAGAAAAATCCAATGATTTTCTCACATACAGAAGTAAAAATCTAATAAAAAGAAAAAAACTGAAATCAGAAATAAGTGCCTTTTAATTGAGAAAACTAAAAAATCCTGCTTACTAATACTTTAATCTAGCATTTTATTCACAATGTAAGAAGTGAAATAATAAAACATCACACTTGAATCAGACTCTAATAAGACAATTGAAGCAGCAGCCTCCCAACTATAAGCACTCGACAAGCTCTACAGATGGGAATAGATCATAAATCTTAGACCCTGGATAGGGCACAAATTGAATGCACATATGGACAGAAAACAAAGAATGGGCTACTTAGAGACATGCCCACGTGTGAGGATAGCTCAAGATAAGACAATCCTGGTGCTAGAACCACCTAGAAACAAACTTTATGGTAACATGGAGGAACTGTGACAGATTGCTGCATTAGTGAAGACATTTGGCGACGACGTACGAAGAGAGAGAATACGAATCACCCCTGGAATAAAATGGGGAGTCTGTAAAAGTGAGCCATACTCACATTTGTAAAGTACAAATCAACACTGCACATGGTGTACATAACTACGTGATATATCAGTTGTAAAGCGCATAGAGCATGTTGTAGAGCACGGATATGCACTGTATAATGCAGTTATTATTATTTTATTATCATTATATCAAGAACCAACACAATACTACCACTAAGTAACACCCAACTTCCCCCTCCTTGTAAGATTTCCCATCCACATATATTGTTGCAATACCTTCTCCAGAATCAGTAGGTATTATTGACACTTCAGTTATTGCATCAAACTCTCTTGTCATGATGATCAGTGTGTCGTTACCTTGAAAAAAAAAAGTACAACAAATACGAGACATCAAGAACATAATCATCCTACTTTTATTGCGGCATAACAAGAGGGGAATACAGTTAAAAAGGGAGACATATATATACAGAAAGTGCACTGGATTAAAGTAAAATACTAAAGCTAAAGAAGATAACTCTTACTCTTCTTTATGCTTTCATCAAGTCATCGTCAGACACAACAATGCAGTTGAGCCATTGTTGGATGAAATTTGGAAGTCCTTGACCTGCTATTCTGCAAGGTTAGCAACTGACAACAGAAATACGAGCTTTTAAAGAAGAAATAAGTTAGAGAAAGAGTACTGAATATGTAGAAATTCAGTTTCCTGACTTCAATGTTCTTTTAATAATTCTGTTTTTTAAATTTTACCAGAAAGTAATTAACTTTTAATTAATATGTCAATTGTACAATCCTGAATATCAGTACAGGCACTGAACAATAAATAAAGAGAATATATAGAAGAGTGAATGCTCCTTCTATGATTCCTGCAAAATACACTTGGGTCAAAACATCACAAAAAAACTTATTTTCACAATGACCCACAAGAACAATAACAAATATGTGTTTATGGCCAAAGAGTGGAAATTTGTGAGTCGACTAGGCACCTGGCAAAACTACTATTTCTGTTTGAGTACTTGAAAGTATGAAAAATACGTCTTAAGAGTAAAAAACAACAAGAAGAGGAATATAGTATTTTAATCTCTCTCAGAAATAGTGGGTATACAGATGTACATGTTTATATACCAGTGAGAAAATAACCCCACAAGCCTGAACCAACCTGTTGTGATAACTACAAGCTCCAAATCAGGACTCCAGGACATAGATGTGAGGCCTTGAGCGACTTCACCAACACACTCCAACTACACGCAGATAATACAAACAAAACAGTTTTTATAGGTTTCATTACATTTTCAGCATGAACATTGAGGCACTCATGTTAAAAAGATACACTGCACATTTAACTTACATACACAATGTACAGAACAAATTAGGGCACAACAAAATCTTTCGAAGAGTCCAGGAAACAACAAGAGCATTAACTGTGGCTGAATTTTGTAAAAGCAGTGTCTCTCCCCCCCCCCCCCCCCCCACAAAAAAATAAATTTAATGGATTTTTCTGAAACAGAGCAAAAATAAGAACTTTTAAAACTGAAAAAATGATCTAGAACTCACTGCCCCCCCCCAACCACACACACAAAGAGTCTTCTCCATTCTAATCATTTCTAAAGAAGTGTCTTGTTTCTATAATAAGCTTTTGAAACTGTACAAGGCTGGATTTCTTCAGAATAAACCAAATTGTTGTTTTCCTATGAAACAAGTGTCTTGTTAAAAATAATTATATATAAAAAAACAGCAATAACCCAGATTCGCATATTGGGATCCAATTTGCTTTTCCTGAGTAGTGTGGATCTATCCTAAACACATTTTAAAGTGGAAAAGGAAAACAACGGCTCATTTTTTGGACAACCGATAACAACAAATTTAAGAGATATCAGTTGAGGAATGTCAAATTATACAATTCCATGATTTTGAGTTTTTCGTGTTCACGTTTTCTGTACCTGACTGTATCTATAGATAACCTTTCAATCACCAAACCAAGTAGATCATTAGTCATGTTTCACGTTAAAAGTACACCTGTAGCTGGGTTCTCCATATATCTTAATTAACTTGAAGCTAAATGCTCAACAGCTTATGGTATGACCAGTTATAATAAAACATTTGAGTCTGTAGTTAGCAATGACCACGAAAATCCTTTTTATGCCATAAAGTGTTTGCAAATAGGTGCATTTTGTAGCTTTATCTTCACAGAGCATGGAACTTTTTGAATTTTTGAAATCCATCAATAAACAAAAAAGTTACGGATTTTTTAATCAATGAATTTCTGGTACACTTTTATATAATGAAAAAACCCCCAAAATATGGGACGTTCTTTGGTGAGTTTTGAGACAATATTCGTCATAACTCGCTCATTTCTCGGAGTATTTAAAAGAAACTTGGCAACCAAGTACATTTTCTAGTGCAGAATCTAGTCCTGCTTTCAGATTTTTCACAGCTATCCTATTTTTTGAGTTATGAAGACGTTTATAGGTAAAAATGTGGCCGTTTTCGGTGCGTTTTGAGACAATATTTGTCATAGCTCGCCTATTTCTTGGAATATGTAAATGAAACTTGGCAGTCTAGTACATTTTTTAATGCAGAATCTAGTCATGCAGACAAATTTTTAATATCTGTCATACTTTTTGAGTTATAAAGACATTAACAGATAAAAAAGTGGCGTTCTTTACAGATTTACAAAGATTATCAGTCATATGTTCTCCCAAAGTCATGATATTTGAATGAAACTTGGCAACATAAAAGGTTCCTCCTTGCCAAGCAATGCTCTGGATCAATAATGTTTGTCACAAAAAAGTAAGTAGAGAGCTACTAATAAATCCAGTTCTGTACTAGTAAAAGCATGCATACTTTGTTATAGAAAATAAGATCGTCTCTGTGTATATCCATTGTTGGACAGTGTCCTATTGTGTGGTAGATTAAGATGCGTTCAGATAATATAGTTTACATGTCATGGGAATATTTCGCATGTGTAGGCTACAACTCATACAATAAATGTAACATATTTACACCCCCCCCCCCCCCCTATCTCTCTCTCTCTCTCTCACGCGCGCACACACATGCACGCGCGCGCACTCACGCACGCACGTGTGAACGATAACAATGTATAAACGGGACTATCTTCCCAGACTGGACTAAATAAGTACCATACTCTTTAATAACAATCTTAATGCCTCACTTTTCCAAACAGAGCACACAGGACGAGTCCAAGTGTGTGCTTTTCCCCAGAGGGGGGAATAGGCTTTCATAACGCAAACACAATGCCATACCACTTCTCAAGATGTTTTTTCTGTTTCTATTCTTCTGTCATGCAATCAAGCAAATAAAAATGACTACACTTATTGTATTGTGACTAAAATGCAACAAAAACGCAAGTTATCAAGGCCCCCGTTTAGTTTTCAAGTATCCTTCCACCCCCTTTCCATTTCACATAAGTGGGGCCTCGTTTGTAGCGTCCGAGGCGACCGATGGCTGATGACGTCACTCAGTGGAAATTTCCAGGCCGTCGGCCGTTCACCCAGCACGCGCAAATGGCTGTGTGGCTTTTTCCCTTAGTTACTCCCACATTTTTAAAGATTACGCCAAAACCGCTAACCACAGAAGCATGAAATTTTAAGGGAATAAAGAAAAATGGTGTACAACATATCAGTCAGTTTGACAAATCACAGCTCCGAAAAACCTTCAAAGCGCATCACATCAACCACTTTCGCAAACGTTTTCGACTGCTTCTAGGATGGGTACAATGTTGTCAAACTGCATACTACGAGATTGACCTCTTTTCTGATTGGCTGCCAAGTTTCATTCATATCCATTCACCAGAAGCGGCGTGAGAGCGAGTTGAAGACAACAACCTTTGCGTTAGTGCGTCCCACGAAACACCCCCGCTGCAGGGGCCAAAAATCGGCAGAACAAAACGCGCTCGGTGGGCATTGCTACTGTAGTCTGGCCAAACCTAAAAGTTCTAAAAATTAAAACACCCAAAGCTGGGTCATATCTTTACACAATTAGCATGATCTAAACAAATTGAGCATTCAATTTCAATAAAACACAGAGCTACAAACCTCTGCAGAATTCATTTGCCACAGACACATCCTGCCATCCTTGGTGGCCACACAGACAGCCTGCTGGTCATACAGGTACTGCAGACCCACAGGGCCACAGTCATTGTCTCCCCCCTCACATTGTAGAGAGATGCTTGACAATACCTGAAAAGAACAGGACAAAAGAGAGACAATAAGTAGCATGGAAAAATATGAAACTGAAATATTAAGGTTTAACCTTCAGGACAAACTTTACAGAGATGTTTCATAGTACATTATAATCATTTCACTGATTTAGTCTCATGTAAGTGACATAATATTCAGTCAAACATAGATAGATCTACAAGACCAATGTAATAGAAAACATTGAAGGTTTTCTTTTATTCAGTACAGACTTACCTCTTTTGTCTCTGGGCTGAATGCAATCAATGACTCTGAAGTGGCAACATACACAGTCCCAACATCTGTATCCACAGACAAGTACAATGTTTCTGATACAGCAGTCAGCCCTTCCACCACATGGCTGTCTACAAGCCGTAAGTTCCTCATGTCTGAATCTTACAGCCAGACAAAAGTGCAATCAACCTGTTAAAAGAAGAACATCACAGACTTCTCTTATTCCCTCCATTTAATAGTAGTAAGGAACTTAGAATACATCACTCACATGAACATCAATGTTAAAGCCAAATCAAAACTGTTGCACCATAGGAGGGCATAGATCTAGATCTAGTAGATTTCAAGATCAAAGTGGCTAGCCGTACTTAATAAACTTAATTCTGTCTAAGTACGGCTAGCCTAGCTAGCAGTCTAGCCGTCATTAAGTACGGCTAGCCTCTTCCTTTCAAGATTGTCAACTAAAATAGGCCTAGATTCTTGTCATTAACCTTACTTCAATGTATGTTTGTGGTTCCACAGTGAATAAGTTTGGTAAGACAGGGAAAAGCAAAATAGAAAATGAAAAGTAAGAGTAAGAGAGCACACAAAATTTCACACAGTGAGACTGAGAGTGAGTGACATGGTCAGCAGACGTAATTTATGTTATAAATTACTATTATATTTAAACATTCATAATATAGGCAGGAGATTGAAGCTGTGGTTGCGAAAAAGCATGTAGTTTGTGGAAGCTAAGGAGAACGTTGGCCTTTAAATTTAGACCAAGCAATTTTGTACCCACGACGAAATCTAGTGCAATGTGTTCCCTCATCGATAAAGCAATGGGGAAAAGACGAGGAAAACTAATATTGTGTAGTTGATGTATAATGTAGACCTAGCAGTACAATAGACATATTCTGGTATTGGTATTGCTTTAGAGTTGTTTTTGTTATTATTAACCCAAGGAATATAATGTCAACATGATACGTGTTTTTTTTATTGTAATAGTAACAACAGTCTTTTCAACAGCATTAATCAATATTATGTCTCTACTTAAAAAATGAACAGCTATTATTCCAATTGTGTCTTACAACTTACCCTAAACTATCGATACCTTCACTGCTCTGTATATTTGTTCCTCACCTTCGTATTTTTTTCTTTCACCGCTAGTGTCTGATCTATCTATCTATCTATCTATCTATCTATCTATCTATCTATCTATCTATCTA